TCTGAATAACCAGTGGGTCACAGAGGAAATTAAAGAAGAAATCAGACAGTTCCTTCAATTAAATGACAATGACAGTACAACATATTGGAATCTATGGGACACAATGAAAGCAGTCTTACGAGGGAAATTCATAGCAGTGAATACTCAAATTAGGAAAACAGAGCGAGCCCAATTAAGCAACCTGATGCTGAACCTCAAGCTTCTAGAAAAAGAAGAGCAGGACAAACCTAAAGCTCATACAAAGGAGGCAATTATAAAGATCAGAGCAGAAATCAGTGCAATGGAGACTAAGAGAATGATGCAAAAAATCAATGAAGCCAAGAGTTGGTTCTTCGCAAGAATAAACAAAATTGACAAACCCTTAGCGAACCTTATCAGAAAAAGGAAAGAAAAGGCCCAAATCCATGCAATTAGGAATGAAAAGGATGAAATTACAATGGACCCAGCAGAAATCCAGAGGACCATCAATACTTACTTCGAAAACCTATATGCCAATAAGTTGGAAAACACAGAAGAAATGGACAGATTCCTAGAAACGTATGAGTTACGAAAGTTGCATGAAGAAGATCTAATAATTCTAAATTACCCAGTATCAATCAATGAAATTGAAAATGTAATTAAAATCTTACCAACTAAGAAAATCCCAGGTGCTGATGGCTTCACCACTGAATTCTACAAGATATTTAGAGAAGAACTACTGCCACTACTGTTTAAACTCTTCAATGCAATTGAGAGGTAAGCAATACTCCCAAATTCATTCCTGGAAGCCAGCATCAGAGAAAGCAAAGCAGAGAAAGACCCAACCTGAAAAGAGAACTATAGGCCAATCTCACTAATGAACAGAGATAAAAAATCCTTAATAAAATACTGGCAAATAGAATGCAGAAGATTATCAAGATCATACACCCTAATCAAGTGGGAATCATCCCAGGGATACAGGGATGGTTCAACATACACGAATCAATTGATGTAATACACTATATCAACATAGCCAAGGACAAAAACCATATGTTCATCTCAATAGATGCAGAAAAAGTGTTTGACAAAATCCAACAGGCATTTATGATAAAAATCCTACAAAAAATTGGAATAGCCAGTCTCTATCTTAATCTGCTAAAAGCCATCTGTGAAAAACCAACAGCCATTATCATACTAAATGGTCAAAACCTGAAGTCCTTCACACTAAAATCAGGCACAAGAGAAGGATGTCCACTATCACTACTCCTGTTCAATATAGTTTTGGAAACATTAGCCACAGCAATTAGGCAAGAGAAAGAAAAGGAATCAAGATAGGAAAGGAAGAACTCAAGTTGTCCTTATTTGCAGATGACATGATACTCTATATAGAAGACCCCAAGAACTCCACCAAAAGTCTTCTAGACTTAATAACCAAATTTTGTAGAGTAGCTGGATATGAGGTCAACACACAAAAATCAATAGCTTTCCTCTACAGGAACAACAGACTCACTGAGAGATAAATAGGGCAAACAATTCCTTTCACAATAGCATCCAAAAAACTGAAATACCAGGGAATCAACCTAACAAAAGAAATCAAAGACCTCTTCTCTGAAAA